TTGGCAATTCTCTCTTCTGCCCAGAGGTGTATTTCAAATCTCGGAACGGGCTCGTGTACCGTAAGCCACAGGATAAGGAGATCAGGATAAATGCTACCCGCGATCAACGAAGAACTCGGACATTTTATCCGCCGTTTTCACAATCAACGTCGTCTCCTTTTCTCTTACATATCGGTCGAAGTTCTTTCAGGAGATTTAGACATCATGCTACGACTGATACTCGCAACGTCAAGTAGTTCACCAGCACCACTTCCTCTAGGACTGCTGTTTTTCTTCTTCTTTTGAGAGACGAAAAGAATCCAGGCCATAAGAGCTGCACAAGAGGCACAAGATTCAGATCGATACAACCCATACATGAGACACAACACGTACGTGCCATATATTGAATGGTATGTGTGGGCTTCAAACGTGAAAACGCGCTGTTGCTGCGAATGCACTTGGAAAGAGCGCAAAAATGTGAATGCCGTAATTTTTGTTAGAGTTAAAAATAAAGAGAGATATTTTGTCGTTCATTTTAACTACATACATTGTTACCGTAATTTCACGGCATTGTATCATTGAAATCTACCTAAATTATTAATTCTATTATGTTCGAGCAACAAAAAGTCTTTAAACTCTCTTATTGACTGGTTTGTCACTCTTCAATTTCCTTAATGTTTTTTGTGACTCATTTCATGTTAAGTAGCATCAGAAGTGCGTGCCACTTTGCGAGTCTTTAAATTGACTTCTGAACATTAGTCATGACCAAAATTCATGCAGATGTCATTGCTAAAATGAACGACAGACAACAGTTGAGAAAGAACTTCATTCGTAGCCAACAACTTAATATCATCCATGTAAAACAAATGTGATACTGGCCTTTAATTACCATGGAGCTTGTAATCAAAGTCAGTGTGCGACACTGTCTAGATAATGGAATCAAACAAACGCAAAACAGCAGAGACGATATCGAATGTCCTTCAAAACTCCCCTGTTAAACTGAATACTTCTTTCTACTACTTTCTTTCCGCTGTGTATTAGTAAACTGGTAATCCACGACTTCATTCTAGCTTTGTAACGCCAAGAAATCTAGTACGAAATCGATTGACCTCCAGGGTCTTCAAAATCCAATCGTGTAGTACACTGTCAAAGGCTTTGTGATAGTGTGATATGTTAATCCAAGCCATACTCAAATTATGTTTTCTTTTCCTTACATGATTCAACATGACATACAGTAGCAAAATTTTCTTTAGGAAGCTTTACAATATCCTTTATGTTCAATTGCCAACAGATAGTTCTTCTCTATATTTCTGTAAATTTCGTTAGCTGTCTTGAGTTATAACTTTGTACAATACTGACAAATAAGTGATTGCCTTATAGTTCTCTGACAAAGACTGTCTCCTGTTATAGGTAGCAGGAACGTGATGCCGCGAATTGTATTGACAGCCTTTGCTAAATGAGAATGTAATACTGTTAATTTCTTAATCCAAAAATTCTAGATCTTATCAATCTTGGGGGATTTCAAGTTCCCCTTCCGGGAATTCGTGAACATGTTCCACTGTTTCCACAAGTTCATCGACAGCATGAACGTCAGATTGAAGCAAAGGTGCGTCTTCGTTTAGTATCTGCTTTCTTCCCAGATTTCTGCCCAAAATGTTTCGACGTAATCTTTGATGGGAAGGACAGCATTGCCCTTCGGTTTTTTAGTCAGATTGCGATTCAATATCTTCGCGTCTGTTTCAAACAACCAATTCTGTACACGGAAATTGTATGTACGTTTGTAACGTCAAATGCGTTTTTCACATGCTTGGATTTTTCTCTTTTAGCTTCTCAGCTACCATTAGTCTTGTGTCATTTTGAATTTGGATTTTTTGTTCAACATGGTGTATATTTCGTTGGACTTTCGAGGCGTTTATTTGTTTAAAAGATTCCTACATTAACAGTGATATTTCGTGCCGAGTGTCGGCTATTTGTTTCATAAATCGTTTCGTGCACATGGGTACCAAGCTATTTACTCTATCTGTCGGCCGTCGATGTACTTGGCTGATGCCAAAATTATCCGAGTTACCAGATATTCAGTTGCATACCGGACGTGATTGATTTCAGTAATATCTATATCTCTACCTGGGTTTGTACCACCCCTTTTAAGACAGAATTCGCAGTTTCTTAGCTTTAGAATTTTCATATAATCTCCTCAATGGTGCACAAGATTCGAATGTCGGTGGACGAACTACTTCTATTTCGCTTCGAAGGAGATTCCGCATCAGGTCCATATCGTGTGATTCAAAGCCAGATAAATGTTTACCAATGATAGAAGTTTCTTTTGGTAGAGATAAACCTTCAACAGTACCATCGTTTTCATATATATTAGATGGTTCTAAATGTCCGTCATGTGGATAATTCGATCGAAGAACATTTTGCAATTCCCTGAAAGTCAGCATGTTCTTCCGCCGTGAAATTTCCACTAATGAGTATGTATCGACCTTGACTGGCAAGCTACTTTGAATCTAGGGTAGGTGTGGTGTCAGGGTTCCGCTCTCTCCATATCTTCTATTTCTCAGACCCCATTTTTCGTTTTCGGGAAGTAAGAGCATCACATCACCACCTTTAGTTCATCCCGGGTCCAACTTTAACGACGGCTTTAAGCTACTGCCTGCACCGAGTCCCTAGGATCCGTGGTATGACCAGACGTTGACAAAGTGACATTGGCTCGGTTTCTGAGTAGGTATGGAACATTGTCAGAACAAGGCACGTTAATTTTCATTACAATTCTTGTTTTATCCATTTTGATTATTAGTTTTAAGTGAAGTTTCGCAAGAAGCAAGTTCGAGTTCACAGATCACACTTAACCCACGGGTTATTTCGAATCATCCGTTACTGCGAGCCACAGAGTCCTAAGGACATCCCCCGCACGGCCCAGCAAGGGGTCCCTCCAATCGCCAGTAGGCATTACTAAACCCTACAGGATTTTCACTGAATGCTGAATGCAGCCTCTTTCATTGTCTAATGCAAGGATCGGTCCTCCACACTAATCAGTGGCCTGGTGTGCCAACCCATTTTCTCTCCTGTACCCTTTACGAGCCGATAACAGGAAGTCCAAAGGTTCATGACCCTTTCCCTCTCTACTTACTTCTCGCTATGAATGCAGCCGCCCCCCCCACACACACACACACATGAGACAAACACTGTTTGCTGCCGCCCGCTGCAGATCAGGCGCTGCGGTTGGGTTCAAGGTGCCTCTTGCGCCATCTTCATCAATCATCTTTTTGTTCTTCAAAGATACCACTGAGTCTCTCCTCTGGAATACTTCTTGGTCGACCTTTTCAGCAAGGGACGCTCTACCAGTAGCTCAAATACCACCGACAGCTCTCAGGCTCCCGGGGGGACTCACCCTCCAACTCAAGGTCTGCACTCCCTAGCTGAAGGTTTATTGCTGTTATTATGATTCTTATTATATCCCATTAGGTTATTATCATTGACCCTTCTTTTATTATCTATTAATTCACCATGTTATATACATCATTGCTTATTCTCCAAAGATTTTCAGAAAATTCAAGATTTTTTATTCAAAATTTTAAATGACATTGCAACCTGGGTGCGCAGAGTGGTAAATCAGCCATTGCCGTGCGTGGCTCGCTGGCGGGAGCGCGGGCGAGTGGGCGTGGCAAAAGCAGGCAGCGATAACGACGCCCCGAGCAGTTGAAACGCAACAAAGTCGGTGTCCGTCTCGAACATCTTTGGAATTTAGTACAAGGTTCGCTACGTATTCCAGGTCTTTCCAAATGGTGATTCGCGGAAAATTGTGTTTGCCTTTTTATGTAAAATACATGTTTTCTTTGAATTTGCGCATGTTAGGAAATTAGGTTTTTAATTACGCTTTCTGTGAAAAATACACCGCTGTATTTTACATTTAGAAAATGAATTGCCTTAGTATATTTAGAAGATAATCTCAAATATGAAAATTCCAATAGAAGTTTTAACGATTCGACAATTACCATTAATTCAGATACACACGTGAATACCTTGTTTTCCCCTTCTTAAACTTTATTTATATCATTTTCTTAAATAAGAGAAGTCATTTGCAATCAGAATAAGATATGAGTATATTGAATTATGAGACATTAATGACTGAAAACTACAATGTTTTTAAATTAATTTGTAATAAATGTAATATTTTCTTCGTAAGATATTTGTTTTTTCTACTTACTACTGAAAAAAGAGACGTTGGTTATTTTAAAGTCAGTCAACTTTTACCCAAGTAATTTTAAAAGTAAACAGAAGCATACATTCCAGAACTCTCGGTTTCTGACCTTAAACGTGAATCACAGTAAGGAAAAAATGCTTGTTTTCCATGTATACAGTAGACATCAGTGTTGCGTTACATACATCAGCCCAACAGTAAGACTGTTTTTTCAGGTCTTTTTTTAATAAAAGGAAATAATTTTCCATAACAGACACAAGCAATACCGCCAAAATGTAATTGACTACAACATCATTTACAAAAAATACTAAAATGGTTCATTTCGTTTTCTGCCTTATTTTTATTTGCATAGTATTCAGAATTTTCTTTCTCCGTCTGGATAGAACTGAACTGCTTAAATAAAATCTGAAATGGTGGTTGAGAGTGTGGTCACTGGTATTTCACTATCAAAACTTAATTTTTTAGAATCGTTACATTCTATATATTGAGAATATTGACACAGTACAGAACAAGAAACGAAACAGCCATGTTTATTTACAATTCCCATTAAAGTACTCTCAGAAACTGAACCAATGCAATGCAGATTTGGAGGTATTGATCATACAAATTCTTGTGAATCTGTCTCATTATTAAGCGTAATTCTACGTTACCCCAATATAATTGAACAAACCCTAGGCCGAGGCTTGTTTTGCGAAACTGGCTGTTTAGAACGAAGTACACATGTAGTAGTTTAATTGTACTTCCAGAAACTAGACCCCAACAAAACGCCGACTGCTTCCGTATGTCGTTAGTTAACCGCTTGTGTTGTGTGCGCCCGCAGCCGACACGCTCCAGGAAGTGGCGCTGCCCGTCATCTCGACGGCGGAGTGCCGCAAGCGGACGCTGTTCCTGCCGCTATACCGCGTCACCGACAACATGTTCTGCGCGGGCTACGACCGGGGCGGCCGCGACGCCTGCCTCGGCGACTCGGGCGGCCCGCTCATGTGCCAGGTGAGGAGCAGTACCCAATTAAAATTATTCTAATGTAAATGTTATCACATTTTAAGATGATAAGTAAATTCTTTAACTTTTGGAGAGAAACCTTTTCAGATAATTACTTTTTTTTAAATAATATATCTTTAGTAGTGAACGAATATACATAGTTCAGTATTATTTATACTACATCATATGTATTTTATGACTTATATTTAGCTTATATTGAACTTAAATGCCTTAATCTTACAACAAATCTAACTAAACACATGAATAGGAACTCACAGCAGGACCTATGTGATTAATTGACTTCTGAAATTGCTGAGGAATGAATCTAATGCATATTATTTGTTATTCTTGTTCCGGAGCTGCTAGGTGGTGGCTTAGGCCGTAGTTGGTGGCTTGGGTTATTGTGGTTATTTTGGGGAGAAGAAATTGTTAGATAGTCGAGCGCGATATGGTAAAGTATAGGAGGTAATCAAATTTTTTATGCGTTGAATGTTTGAGATGAACCAGGTGCATCAGTGGCAATCTGAGGGAAATTATTTTGGATGATCTGTAATTTATTAATATTAGTTTTTGAGCATTGATCCAGATAGGCATGCATAAAGCATTAGGGGTCATATTATTGATTTATAGTGGGATGGCCCATTGTTTAAATGAGAGCTTACTTTGCGATTAGAGTGGCTTTAGTTGAATTAATCTTTATTTTGGCTTGCTGTGCTTTACTGTTATGTGATTTTTCCAATTGTAGTCTGTATCAAGATTCAGCCCTAGGTATTTACAAGATTCCATTGTGTGAGATCCATGGAATTGGTGTTATTGTTTGATTCGGAGGGGTGTGGGTTGAAAAGTGTTCTTAATGAGAATATTTGTGCGCGTGATTTAGTAGATTTAGTTTGATTTCCATTGTGGACAGACCATTCATCAATTTTATTTAAATGTGTTTGAATTTGTTTACGATTAGAAGAAGTTGAAATTGATTAGACATGAAAATTGCGTGTAATCGGCGATTGGCGATGTGCGTGTGCTGATGTAATGGAATTGTTAGACTGTGCTACTATAGTTGAAAGCGTGGGGGACAGCTGGTGGGCCTGAGGTAATCCAGCTATAATTCGTGCGGATTGGATGTATGATTTTAACCTGTGACTGAAAATGTTCTTCTTGGAGGAAGCTATTAATGGTATTAATTTTAAAATAGGTAGGGGTTAAACTATTTCTTTAAGTTTGAATATTAACCAGGATACCACACTTTGTCAAAAGCTTTCGAAATGTCTTAAAAACGGTAACTATTGTATGCTCTTTTTTTTGAAATGCCGTGTGTTATGTGCTCCGTGATTCCTTAATAATTGATGAGAGTTGGAACTTTGATTATTGAAAGCCAAATTGGTGCATTGGGGATTGTTGGAGTTTTACCGGCCGCGCGCGCGGTACGAACAGTAAAGTGAGTGTTCAAAGTATGCCAGTGCGATTCATTGAATGAGTCACGATGCATGTGCTCGATGCATGGTGCCGTGATGTTGTCACGCAGGATGACATCATGAATCGGTATCCGCAGTCACGGTGATCGCCTTTCGTTACAATCGTATGGACACTTCCAACACTTTACACCACTGTGATACAATAGGTGCAACTGCAAGGCGGCGGCCTTCACGCAGCTCACGGCACTGCGTGAATAGTGCCTTCATTGACATGGTCGACCGAATTGCAGTTTAATCACAACTATTTCACACTTCTTGGTCCAATTGAATACTTGGTTAACTCAGAGATGCTGAGCAAACCCTGCTCTGAGACTCTCAAACTTTTATTCAATTTCAGCTCATTGTTGACGAGAAACGAATAATTAGCGGATTGCGAAATAGACACCGAACTTCTGTTTCAGTGTAGTCATACTGAAATGGCAACAAAACTTTGAGTTATTGGCAGTCCATGGATATCTCCCCTTATTTTTCGTCGCATATTCGTGAGGATGCGTGCTTTCACGTACATATGCGAGCGAATAAACGAAGGTTTCGTTTGTAGTTGAATATATACGACTTTCAGAAAAAACAGTTTATATGAAACTTCATTCATACATGTAAACTGCTGTTATTTCCGTGTCTTTCTCCCCATAGTTTTTGTGTAAAGCTCGCACGTGATGTTATGTCCATCCTATACCAACACTGATGAAATGGTACCGAGAAAAATCGAGCTTTACTGCAGTGGAAATCTTTCATGCTTTCCTCCGTCCCGTAACAGTTCACTGGCTCGCCAACGCCTACGCACGCGAGAGATATTCAACGCAAAGAGCAAGAAGTGCCGGCGCAGGAAGTTGTATTGAACGTGAGACGCGAGTCTCCATTCCCGAGACATAAAGTCGTAAAGGTTACAAGCCGTCGTTCTCGATTTGCTTCGGCACAAAGCACCTAATGCGGCTATTTGATCGTTCCAAGGCATGTCACTGCGCTCTATTCTCCCTCATTTCTCGGCACAGAAAACGGCTGATAGAAGGAGCTGCTTTCAGTTCGTTGGAATAACAAACTACAGTTGAGTGGAAGCCTCCACTATTTTCTCTCCCACTATGAATTGATGAGAACGGACGTCGTCTTCTAAACGAATTCTCGTAAACATTCGATTTGCAGCCACAGAAGGAAGACTGAAGAACATATTCCAGAAAAAAAAGGTTAGCTGACTAAAGAATATTGCACCGTTGTATTCACAAATAAGCTATGTTTTACACTTAAACCAAATAATATTCTTCCTTCAACTCATAGTTTTAATTCTATTTTCTTCGATACTATGCACGCGAAATTATTTTTTTAAATATAGTGCGCCAAATGCAAAGTGTTTGAAACTAAAACTAAAAAGTGGATTATGAATTTTTTTTCATAGATATTTGATTATCGTCACGTTTATACAAGAAGCATTTTAACTAACTAATTTTATAATTACTATTGTGCTGTATTTCAAATCGCATAAAAAAAGCGTTTTTATTTTCCTCCTCGTCCTCTCCTTTCTTAATTCCACATCTTGTCTTACTAATGGTATGGCACTAACTGAAAAAAAACGACGCTATGTCGCATTATTACATTATTTATAACATGTAAATACCAAATAAGCCTTTCTATGAGTGCAAAGAGCACACCAGCGCTGGGATTCACTCCTTGTCATTGGTAAATTGCTCATAAAAAGCACTGGAGCATTTACGTATAGAACGAGGTGGAGATAGGCAGTTTACTCCTTGCCTGTGAATGAGAGTTGCCGTGTTATGCTACCTATGGATACAAAGTGGTTACTTGTCCGCTGAGGTAAAGTGGTTTGTGGTGCTTGCTTATGAAAAACAATTTTTTCCCCCCGGTGTCTATGGGTGAGTTAAAACTCGTAGTGTATTATGCACAGATACAGATTCTTTTAATTCATTTTCTAAGCGGATTTTACATGAAGTTTGATGATACGTTTGTACCCTACAAATTAATACGCCTTGCATTTCTAATTCTGGAGCTTAAATATGAAAAGATTCCAAAATAAATGTTTACTGATTATAAGTTAAACCTACTTTGGAGTCATTATTGACTTAATTTAATATCAAAAAGTTTTCTGCAGAATAGTTGTGTACTTCTTGACTGAATTAAGTCACTCTATATGTTCAGAGGAATTTATTCTCTTATCTCGACATTAAGCTAACTAGATTGATTTATTAGATTTATTGTTTTTCGAACTTCTTGCTGCTTATAAAGTGTGTGAAGTGATAATTTTACGCGGAAGGGCGGTGTTTCGCCGCGGCTATTGGTGGATTCCTGCAGGACCTACGTCGGAAACCTTTAGGATTTTCCCTCCAGACATATACACAGCGGGTACCCGCTGGCAGCGAAAACAAGCTCTAGCCGCCCGACATGTGCATGTAATTATAATGTGTGTATACGGATGAGGCAGGACCAGAAAAAGAAGGAAGATCGCCCGGTCAATACCGATTTTACGGTACGGCTCCGGCCCAATGCCTGAAGGAGGCCCATTGATCGGAGAAACCACGCAACAATTACTGATGCAGAGCAGTCGCCGCTACAAATTCTGCTCAGACATGCCACCAAGAGATTCGAACCCTATGGGCCTCTCGTCAGAGTCTTGAAGAGTCAGGGCAATGCCTGGCTCTCTGTTTATTGCCCACAGGCAACTAAGGATCTATATTTTGGTTTTATCCAAAAATTTGGCCAGCAAGTGGGATCAGTGTTGAATAATTAATATTATTTGATTAGGGAAACTTGCTTTCTCCTCAATAATCTCACAAACTTACTTTAGCAATATTGTCAAGATTAATAATATATCTAAAAGTAGCCATCATATAGTAGTGTATTCACCGGCCAATACTTGTCAACGAAAATCGGAAAAAATTGTGAGACTTCGGCGAGACTAGGTGAGGCGTCATATTGCTTCTATTCAAAATATGCATGATTGTATTGTTCGAAATATTTTATTTACGTGGCTTAACTCGAAATTCAATTGATACTATCAACACACACAACACATATTTACATTCCGATCAACAGCGGAAGCAGACGGCAGAAATTGTTGATTAATAAGCGATAGACTGTTGTAAATACTATATTGAAATAAGTCAACAACGCAATACGTGGAAACCACCATCGGACAAGCTGTTAGCATTTATGGGTTTCAGATTCTCTAAAATTAAACAGTTTCTATTATTATTAATTTTGTGTTTTAACATAAGCATGATAAATGATTTCAATTACAGTTGAACGAAAGAATAATTATTCTTGGTTCTTAAAAAAGATTATAGGGAAATTTTTATGACAGGCGGAGAAACATTTCCTTCTCGCAAACCACATGTTTTAATTAACTCATTCCCTTTTTGCGCATCGCGACCGGAGTCTGTTCTTATAATTCAGACCGGTACGTGTTTTACAGGACCGAGTAAACTAGTCCAAAACGCATATTTGTCCGTCAAATATTGTATGCACTGCTGAGCTTTAGAACATGAACCGCGGATACCCGACAAGCAAAACTGAACGCTATGCAGGTTT